CGAGGTAAATACAAACCTTAGTACCAAATCGTCCTGCTCTTGCTACTCTATGCAAGTATGTGTCAGAATCCTCTGGCATGTCATAGTTAAACACAATATTAACTCTTTCAATATCCATACCACGTCCAAATAAGTTTGTTGCGACCAGAATTCGCTGCAAAGAAATAAATTCATACACAAGGCTCTGGATTTTACCACAGAAATCAACAATTCAACACCCTCATTCATACATGCACACAAACATTCAGCTGCTGACGCTTCTATCACATGGCTTCTGAACAGTCTACAAAGTAAATTTCCTGAAATCCAATTGTTCATGAAAATAGTTTACTTAAATAGCAGTATAAAATGGATACTGTTAACTGTGATCACAGTAAAATAATGGACCTCGTACAGTAAATTATTCTCGCCTCACTTATCAAAATTTTCCCTAGTTCTCATCTCAAATTTAAAAAGGAATTTTTCATATGCCTAATAAAAAGACTTGTGACACTGACAACAAAACACTGTGTTTACCTTCTGGAAATCTTTGAACTGCTGATACCTGGACAACCTCTCCTCTTGTCCCATCCCTCGATGAATAGCAATGGCTGGGAAGTTCTGCTCAATGAGAAGCTGAGCAAGAGCCATGCACCGTTGAACAGATTTAACAAAGATCACAACCTAAAATATGATAGGCTCAATATTAAAGAGTGAACAAAATGTGTACCCTGAATCAGTTTTCTACCATAATTTACTAATCTTCCAGATTGTGACGCATGTTACATGACAGAAGTGAACAGCAAACAGTACCTGATTAAACTCTAAAATGTCAAGCAACTCAAAAAGCTTTTTGTTCTTCTCATTTTCCTTCAACTTGACGTAGTGCTGCTGCAAACCATGGAGAGTCAATTTGGCTTCGTCATCCACATACACCTCCATTGGCTGGGGAGCAGAAGAGTAGCAAACACATTTAGCAAAATACAACCCCCACCCCCCAATTGAAAAATAAATCTGCAATAAAATAATCTGCCAAGTAAAACATAATTATAACCATTAATACAGGAGCAGAGAAATTCACTTCATGTGTTGTCTGAGGAAAGGATATGACCACATAATGGGGGAGGGTACACTTATCAAAGTAATGAAAAAATTCTGGTAACACTTGATACTGGGATATCTAGAGCTCTCAAACAACGTTAATTTGTTTGGTACTTGCTCACGTGCTTTACAGTAAGTCTCAATAAAACAAATCATACAAAGAAATAAGTACAGAACAAAACACAGATCCTCAATAAGATCTATATTTTCAAAAAGTAAAACCAAATGCAATAGCTTTGTAATAAGTTTATATGCAATAAATTAACAAGGTCTCAATGGGGGAAGCAAAACAGCAAACATTTTTTTGGAATGTACACTCTTCCATCATTTACGCCCCTCCTTGTATATTCATTACATACGCACACGTTGTTAAATTTAACGTCGGTTCCAAATGCTAAACTACAGCTTCGAATTATAAGATGATTAGGATGTATAAATTGTGATGTGAAAGGAAACAGTCGTGGCTTAATTTGTAGTGATTTTTTTTCGTGTCCAGTACACACCATTCAGCATGGTGTGCATTGGTGGTTAGCAGGATTCACGACCCATCAGTACATGGGTTCGACCGGGACCGCGACATTTAACGCTCCTGCTGTGACCCCCTTTATGCGAAATAATGATGAAAGTGGAGTAATTCTTGGGATACCACGGATAAACCCTGGAGGAAAACTCCATGATGCCTGGACCATGGCCTTGCCCAACACAAGTTGTATATCTGAGCACCGCCGGGAATTCAACCCGGGACCCCAGTATTACAAGCCCAGCGTTCTAATCGTTAGACCACCGTGGCGGTCCGGATACATAATAACAATGTTAAATAAGATTAAATACCTAAAAGCCAGCCTCCCGTCAGCATTTATGTATACAACTGTGCTCAAGTACCAACATAAACTCCACTCCTGTATCAATGGTTTTGTTCAAACCCTGAAGGACTATTACAAATCTTCCTGACAGCTATAAGGATTTTCAGTTACCAGACCCTTCCAAAGCAGGGTTTTGTTACATACGGTTGGTTGACATGGGAGGTGAACAGGCCAAACCAGTCATCTCGAACCCAAGCAAGATGCCACAACAGGGAACCGGTGTTGCATCAGCAGCTTCGCCATGATGACATAGTGCCTTCGGCAACACGACTGACTTCCTAGCCAATTTGGAGCGCACTGTAGCCATGGCCAAAACTCGTGAACTATGCTGGATATCAAACACAAACGACGTTCAAGACTGCCAACCCATCCCAACCACCCAACTCATCTTCAGTCTTGAGGCTTCTTTCTTGCATCTTCTGTCTTCATCTTCATCTTCTGTTCTTCATTTACCCCAACTTAATGACCCACGAACATCGTGAACAAAAATCCCATTCCTCCCAAAAATTATGACTGCTACAGTGCTGACAAGAACGAAGGGGAAAGACGTGTAGAAAGAATGGCAGATACAGAGGGAAAGTATCGAGGATGTTCTGGGGCAAATTATGGCCAACAAGAAGGTATGCGTACTATAAATTCTGGTGGCCGTGTCATCAGAAAGTAAAGAAAAAATGGATAGTGGTTTAGGTGGGAGTCTAATCCCTAAGACTGAGGACGGCGGATAGAGCGACAGGTTTCCGAGTTGCCCGATTGAGGTGCGCATCTCATGAATTCTCCCAAATAAAAAGCTCACAAAAAGCGTCGCTGGTGACGATTCTCCGTGGATGAAACAAATTTCGACCAATGCGATCCCCACACTATGTAATAAATGGTAGATATTGGAGATGAATTACATCTTGCATGAATTTCTTGCAGACTGGGCGAATTTCCTTGCTCAATGTAGCGCTGAACATCATTACTTGCTTCCCATGCGGTGTGTTGCGAAATATTTCCTGTACATCACGTCTCATGTCTGAAAACAGGTGAAATGAAAACCTTACCACATTGCTTAAATATTGAATGCAAAGTGAAATCCATTCATGCAACGGTTAAACACAATGCTTCATGCAGTGTCGCTGTCGAGTGTCCTAACATTTTTTTTAGAAGAGAACACCCTGAAACATGAAGACTGGCAGAAATATCGACAAGGCTAAGAAGTCACAAAATACTGTATACTACTCATCAGAGCAGAAACGTTAAAACTGCAACTAGAAAGTAAATGGAAGCAGAGAATTTACAACTGTTCAAGTTCTTACAACCACCACAGAATATGCCACGTACTCTGCCCTCAAAGATGCAAGTCATGTAGGTACTTGTGGGTTATCAGGACACATCGCTTTAAAAATAGGTTAGGTTAGTTGTCATTAATTGAAATAAAATATAACTTTCAAGTATATGTAATTTACCCACACATTAACCTAACCTAACCTACCCTATTTTTAAAGTGATGTGTCCCGATAACCCACAAGTACAGTCATGTATGTACACACATAACCTATCCACCATTAGCAGCAGATGGAACCTTTCAGGCCACTGTGTACAATAAAAAATCTACACAAAGTAAAAAAGTGATTGCATTTTTCCGTGACATACGTACAGCAGCAAGTAAAAAACCAAAATGCTGAATTAATAATTCCTTCTACAGATTTACCAAAATTTTAACAAATTACAAAAAGCAAACAAAACTTAATGACTTTTCCGCTTGTGTTGCATCCAGAAAGATGGCGGTGGGATATAGGAGCTACCCCATTTTAAATATTTCAATGCACTAAATCAACGATTGAACTGTTAACTATTACTAATACTTACCAAGAAGTTCAAGCATTTTATCACATTCATCCAGAATAAAATGCTTCAAATGTTTCAAATTCAGCTTCTTGGAGCGAACGAGGGCTAGGATTCGACCCGGAGTCCCAACCACAATATGTGGGCAACTGCTCTTCAACACCTCCTCGTCCTTCTGAATTGGCAAGCCACCAAAGAACACTCCCACCTGAAACATCAGAATAAACTGCAACTATTTCCTTGAACAGCATTAACCAGCATATCTTTATAACGAAGTGTCGTGAATTGTTAATTATTTACAGCAGCTTCAGGGGTTTAAAGAACGTGTACATCTCTTATGAATTATATTAGGTTTCTTCTTCATTACGCCGTCTCCTTTACAGGAGGTTGGTGACATTATGAACAGGATCCTTCCATCATTTTCTCGGACTGGGACCTGTTTCATATGTTTTTTAGGCATTGCCATTGCCGTCTTCTGTGTGTATGGAGT